AAAAAAAAAAAAAAAAAAGAGACAAAGTAAGTACCTGTCCTGGGAAAGTGTACCAAAGGGAAGCAGCTCTTAGTGACACAGAGATTGGAGTGGCAAATCCCTTTCCCCCATTATGATTCTGCCTTGGGTCATATTTCTTCATTTGTACAAGCTGCTGTGTTGCTTCCAGGCTGTTGAGATCCTGAAGACAGCTCGTGAAATCAGCATGCGTGTCCGCTTCTTTCCCTACAGTAAGTGTCACTTTCTTTTTTCACTTTCCTGACAGGACCCTAGGTAAGAATTCTTTCAGTTCTGATTATTAGAGGCCCTACAAGTTGGGGATAGGGAATCAGGAGCTCAAGTGTGAAGATAACCTACTGTGTTCCTCCTTTTCTTCTTCTTTCCTTCAGATTATCATCGCCAAAAGGAGCGGACTGTGCACTAGAGACTTGCAGCCCACAGCCCTTCATGTGGACTCTGCCACGACTGCTAACTAGACTTCAGGGGAGCTACTTATACTTTCAGCACTTCCTGTAATAGTGAAGTTGATAGGATGGGGAGACAGCTAACCAACTGCATTACCCAAACTGTATTGCACTTTTGGTTCCCTAGTTTTCTAGGTGAGCTTCATTCCCTGAAAGGAGAAGGATGATGATATCTAGGCATAACCTAGCCTGTGAGGAATGTAGTTAGGAAAGACAACTGACATTTATTGAATACCATGTACTAGTTCCTTACACATGTCATATTTTAATTATGAAAATCAGTAGCAAAAAGAATCTTGGGGATTTCCCATCTGACTTGCCTGGCCATCGCATCCCATCCTTGTACTACCAGAGGTTTCATACACTTTGGAGACTCCAATGAGACCGTTTTCACTTATTCCTCCTCTTAGCCTCTCCCCTCAAAAGTAAAACACAGTGCTGAAGAAATACTGGTGTGACTTTTTTTTTTCTTTTTTTTTGAGACAGAGTTTCGCTCTTGTTACCCAGGCTGGAGTGCAATGGCGCGATCTCGGCTCACCGCAACCTCCGCCTCCTGGGTTCA